CCTGGTCCGGCGAAGGATCAGTATTCATCGTTTTCCTTAGAAAGCCCACAAAAATCCGTCCAGACAAGGCATCAAACACACAGAGCGCAAGGTGGAGCCAGAGAGTTGTCGAACGTACCACGGTGGGGTCCAGGCCGGCGAAGACGTCCCCAGCGGCGAGGATGCGAGATAGGACTGCTCTGCCGGAGGTGCCGGCGTAGAGGCTTGGAACGGATGCGGGGCGCGCGCGGCGGCGGAGCGGCGAGACGGACGTTGAGGAGGAGGAAGAAGAGAGGAGAGAGCAAATGGATCCGGTAGGTCGATTTGATGGATTCGATGCAATTTGCGGTGGGATCGAGCTATCGGGTCCGACGCCGCGTCCGAGAGCCCCATATCCGCTCCATATTTGGAATGGATTTGAGAAGTGGCGATCAGCTCAGATTTGAGACTCGTTTGAGGCGTTCGTGTGGGTTAAAATTCGCCCTGTCGTATGAGGTGGGTTTGAAGCGCCCGGATCTAGATGCAGTCATGATCACAATGACCGTGATACTTTATCTTAGAAGCAGAGTGCATTCATCGTGAACCTGAAAACCTCAGATAAGATACCGTGAATCAGCAGCGGCGCAAGCCATATTGAGGTGATTTCACCAATTGGCGTGTTGATGTCGGAGACACGTCCAAGTTGAATTGAACCGTTCTTGCGCGCACGCATGTCACGCATTCCCGTGACCGTGAGCGTGCCATCTTTCTTCTGTCTTGGTATCAATTGAAATGGTCTTGAATTCGCTTCTAAGCTTCAACAACTCTTGGCTTCCAACTCTTGAGTTCGACGATGGAGCTGGCTTTGGACACCGGGCGGTGTCATCAGGCCCAGGAGGGGAGCATGCGTGTTGCCGTTGACTCCGCATGGAAAGACATTTTTTTTCTTGTTGCCTTGAGGAGTTTCCCGAATGGATAGTTCATGAGACTACCTGGTCGCACTGCATTTTTGCAAAAGTATCTTCATCGACGGGTAGATACACTCTTGAAAGAGTCAGCTTTCAGCAGCATGCATTTAACATGGAACCAAATGGCAACGTAACTGGACATGGTCGCATTTGTTTATCCGCTATTTTAGTACTCCCTCCGTTCCTAAATACTTGTCTTTCTAGTCATTTCAACAAGTGACTACATACAGAGCAAAATGAATGAATCTACACTCTAAAATATGTCTACATACATTTGTATGTAGTAATCATTTGAAATGTCTAGAAAGACAAATATTTAGGAACGGAGGGAGTATGTGTTTGGAAGGATCGGTGATTCAGATTAGTAGTAGTATGTCCATATTCTTTGCACCCACTGCACATATAATACTCGGACGACCATGGTAGACGACGAGCTCTGACGACGGACGTTGCTCATGCTCCCTTGAGGTCGCGCGCTGCTGCCCATGATGCATTTGGCCGCGTCCGGGTCCCCGATGAACCCGATACAGATACAGATGCCGGCTCGTCCGTCGCGTGAAAACGACCGGGAGCTCATTTGGATTTCCACGATTTCATCGATGCTTCGCCGAGTGGAAGAAAATCCGTCACTTTGGCAGACTCCTTTCGCAGTACGCTATTCGCCGGCCAGGGGGTGGGTCCAGAGCGGCCGGACGGTGCAGATCGAGGCCCTCTCCTCTCCTCTGGTGTGATCTCTGTCACGCGTTCAGTCGTCGCAGTACTAGACGGCCTAGAAGAATTGTGGCCTAAGGTGTCAGGTCCACAGCCACAGGCAGCTCACTTGACCCGTCTGCCCCACAAAAGGTCAACTCGAGTGGCGATGTGGCGGTGGTGCCATCTGAG